CCATCAGTTCTTTCTCTGGGGTAGATAGCATTTTTCATGATGAGTCCTTTCGCATTGTCTTAGGTCATTGTATTGCTGAGAAAGTCAAGTCATTCACAGTTGATCATTGCTACAATATTGCTGTTATTGTATACAATGTTCCCCTGGTTCTGCTCACTTCACTTCGTATCAGTCATGTAAGTCTAGGTTTTTCTGAAATCATCCTGCTCATCATTTCTTATAGCACAATAGTATTCCATTACAATCATATACCAGAACTTATTCAGCCATTCTCCAGGTGATGGCTGCCCCCTCAACTTCCAATTCTTTGCCACTACAAAAAGAGCTGCTATAAATATTTTGGTACAAATAGGTCCTTTTTCCTTTTTTAAATCTCTTTGGGATACAGACCTAGTAGTAGTGTATTGATGGATCAAAGGGTAGGCACAGTTTTATAGCCTTTTGGGCATTGTTCCAAATTGCTCTCCAGAATGGTTGGATCAGTTCACAACTCCACCAACAGTGTCACAATTCATCTTAACCCTGGGGCTGAAGATTCTGGGGCACAGCTCTGTTCTCCTAGCTGGCATTCTCAGACCTTATCACCTTTAGTCAAGGGCTTAGACAACCAATAGATATTGTTCTTCCACCCCACTACTGCCAATCCTTTTTAAGAATGTCACTCAATAACTTTCTCGGTTATCAGAGTTTTAAAATTATCATGGGTTTCTAATTATTATAGCTAATATAAATAAGGTTTTATTGTAATTTATATGATTTCTTCCTTTATAGAATTCCCACTCCTTATCATTCACATCCATACTCTGGCTACTTCTTTCCTCCCTAGGCACTCATTTTTTCATAATGGAAACTACAGGGACCTTAGAAGATAGAGAAATTTAAGCTAGAGGATAAAGTACAATTAGGCAATGAATAAGTACTTAAAGAATAATTAGGTGGATTCAAAACTATTGAACATTGGACCCAAAGAGTAGTTTTTCATGGTGGGGTATTGATCCTGAAGAACATCTCTATTGGAGTGCCTCTGGGATCATTTGCTTTGCCCTGGGATGATTAACATTTTTGTCAGTGACTTAGGTAAAGACATAGATGGCATGCTCACCAAACCTGCAAATGACACAAAATTAGTAGATATAGCTAAAACTTTGGATAACAGAGTCAGAACCTGAAAAAACTTCAACAGGCTAGCTACACTATTGGTCCAAATACAATAAGATTAATGTTAATTAGAATAAATGTAAAGTCCTACAATAAATGTAAAATCAACTTCACAAGTGAAAAATTGAAGGGATATAGCTGGACGGTTTCTTTAAAAGAGACATGAGGCTTTTAGTGGACAGAAAATTCAATGTGAGTCAAAAGCATGGTATGGTAGTCAAAAAAGCTAATTCAATCTCAAGCTACATAAAGAGAGGCTAGTGTCTAGGCCTGGGCAGCAGAAGTGATATTCCTGATATGCCACACCTCGATCAAATTAGAGTTGAGGGCTTGTGTTCAATTTTGTCTGCCATTATTTAAGAAGAACATTAATAAGTTGAGCATGCAGAGGAAAGCAGTCAGAATGGTGAATGGTCTCAAGATATTGCCCTGTGAGAATTAGTTGAAAGAACTGAAAATATTTATCTTGGAGAAGAAAGTACTTAGGAAGACAGGCATAATTGCCTTCAAGTATTTGAAGGGCTATTACATGTTAGAGAGATCATACTTGTTCTGCTTCTCCCCGACAAACACAACTATGAACAATGTGTGAAGGTTTCAGAGAGGCTGTTAGTCCAGTTCTAGGTCTCAAGGAATGGAAACATAATTCCTCCTTCCTTAAATCTAATCACAATGTTTAGTGGTAATATACACATACAGAAAGAATATAAGATTACATGTGCTAATAATTCTGACCAAGCCATCCAAATTTCAGCTGTTTCTGGTCTCTGAGAGGAAAACAGCTGCATAGATAGTACTGGCCCTACCACAGAACTACAGGCTGCTTCTGAGTGACTCTAGTTATGCAGGAGCAGCTAGGTGGAACAGTGGATAGAGTGCTGGATCTGGAGTCAGAAAGACTCATCTTTCCGATTTCCATTCCAGCTTCAGACACTTATTAGCTGTGTGCCCCTGGGCAAGTCACTTAACTCAGTTTACCTCAGTTTCCTCATCTGTAAAATGAGCTGGAGAAGTAAATGGCAAACCACTCTAGTATCTTTGCCAAGAAAACCCCAAATGGGGTCAAAAAGCATTTTATGCACTGGAGGGCAAAGGGAGCTAAACCCTTCTCCAATGTACCAGTCTATGTACATGTTGTTGTACATATTATCTTTGCCTGAGATCATTATGACTCAGGCAAAAGTATGAAGTGCAGCATTTGCAGACTTCAGTAGTATCATGTCACAACTATTCATTACAACTTCCCCTATTTTCCAGACTATCATTTTTGTCAACATACCACATATAGATAGATAGATAGATAGATAGATAGAGAGAGAGAGAGAGAGAGAGAGAGAGAGAGATAACAGATATATAGTACATATAGTTATAGAAGCAGGGATTTAAATACACACATTTTTGTAAGCACTTTTTTTGCCAAAATGTAGGAGTTTCTGGGGCATTTTGATGGCTTATACATACAAAAAGATGAAACACTTTATATCTGGAATGTCTGGGAAAATTTAAGGTGTATGGTCATTGTAATTATATTATTTGGTGATAAGGTGTGAGAAAAGGAAAAATTGATTTTGTATTTTATGTTTTATTTCACTTTGTCCTATAAATGCCCAAGTCATGGTTCTTTTTCTCTGAATTTAGTTCAGAAATTCAACTGGTCTGTAAGGAGTTAAGTTTAGAAATCCAGTTCTGCTCATTGCTGTTCTGTTCTTTCCCCAAGGAAATTTGCTGTCCTGGAGGAATGTGGATGGATGTTGGGGACTCTAGTTCAGTATCTATATACCACCAAGCTATCCTTCAAGATGTCTGGTCTGCTATCTCTGACCTTGCAAGTAGACTCAAACAATGAACACTTCTTAATCACAGGAAGGAAGGAAGGGGTTGTTGCTGGCCCCTCATTCCCAGCTTCTAACTAATCATATTGTTCCAACTAATACATGTTATTACAATATGTAATCATATTGTTCCCATATAACCAGTCATAATGTCCTCAACCCCCTGATGTCACCAGCCCAATAACTAATTGTATTATTACCTTACCTACCCTTTTCTGTTCTTTGTTCTATGCTTATAAAAAGGATCTGCATCTTGATCTAGGAGTCATTTAGCTAACTGAGGCAGTCATTGGGCCCATTCTATTGGTAGGTTCCCACCCTGCTAATAAACTGTTATCTTACTTAGAGAATACATACCTTAGTTTACCTTAATTGAATTTTACTCACCACAGTGGACTATAGAAGTAAGATAAATTTAAACAGCAGAAAAATCCTGTTCTTTCCTAAGCCCTATTAATACCCAATATTGTTGATCATAATTTTACCTTGTTTTCCCTAGTGCTTTGGAACATCTAATTTTTAATCTATTTGCTGGCATATTTTTAAGTTCTTTTCATGTGTTCATTCTCCCCAACTAGATTGAATACGAACCCTTCAAAGGACCAGCTCTATTTCTATTGTACTTTCCCACAGTGCTCTGTATCCTGTGTACATTCAATGAACATTTTTTTTTACTCTCTGATTCTGAGGCCCTTTGAGGTTAGACTAGCTTGACCTGCCAAACCTGTTATAGCTGTGCTTCTGTTCTGTGATTAGGGGTAGCATGTCTGTAATAAGTAAGAGAGTGCAGAAGTTAAAAAAGCAAATTTTTTTTTTAAGGCAACTGGGGTTAAGTGACTTGCCCTGGGTGACACAGCTAGTAAGTGTCAAGTATTTGGTCTGAGGCCGCATTTGAACTCAGGTCCTCCTGACTTCAGGGCCAGTGCTCTATCCACTGTGCCACCTAGCTGCCCCAAAAAGCAAATATTTTTGTAAGGTGGCTCAAAGCATTGGAGGCTTGTTGCTGTCCATTTATACATAACAAATGCAGAAATATGGGCTAGGTTAGTGGAGAATGACAACTTTGCCTCCTTCACATAGCCTTTGTTCTGGCTCAAATTTATTCACATCCTAAATCAAAGAGGGGCTTGGGAATTTCTACCCCTAAGTCATATAGTTGTATGGAACAAAGGACTGTGGTTCAGCCCCAGATCCATTGAAATATTGACTGAATGCCTGTGCTTTCTACTTAGCTTGGTAGCTGCTTTCTGCTTTAAAAAAGCTTAGTCTCTCAAGTCTAAGACTCTCCATCTGGAGAAGAAAGCTGCCCATAGATAAGTTTATATGAACTGATAGATCCCCCCCTTTTTTTTAATGAAGAAATACCATATGGAGGGTTTTCCTTAGTTTGATATCAAGTGTGTGAAGAGTCTACCTCCCTAAAATGTCTCAAGTCTCTGGGTTTTAAGCTAAATGACAGATGGTAGAGTTCAGTCTTGCTCTACTGGGGAAAAGGTCACACCTCAACTGAGGACTGTGACCAGCATCTAGTAGAGTGTCCAGAAAAGCAAAACCTAGCAGTGAATATGAAACCAATAGAACACTTCCAAGCAGAAATTACACATCATTTACTACCAGTGGAAGCAGCATAATGACATCTATGAGTCCCTGGCCTCCCAGCAACTTTGGTGGTATGTGTCAGTTCTCTACACACCTACTTATATTCCCTAGGTATACACACTCTTCTCACTGACGGTACGTGTGCTTTGGGAAGAGTATGTCCCATATTTATTTGGAGAAAATTTTTATTGCTAATTTTCTTAATATGCTATTTCTTTAAAATTTTTCCCTCAGAACCACTGTCTTCCCTGTGACTAGTAGTAAACACATTGGTAGGTGCTTATGAACTCTGGTCTGTAAGTAGAATCAGACTTATAGGATGAACTTGGGGGTAGTTTGGGGTGAGCCAAGTGCTAGTTGGTGTCTTGGGAAAGGAGAGGGCCACATTTTAAATGAAGAGGAGGCTCTGTACTCATTTAAAACGTGGTTTTATTTTCTATGAAGTTTGTTCCAACTCAAAAGGAATATTGCACAATGCATTTGCTTTACAAACCTTATTTGTCTCACACTCTAGTGAGATTTCAACTGGTACTTTTGACTTGATAACTAACTCTCCGAATGTCTTAGTTAAATAAATTCAATAGTCAGTGAAGAATTGAAGGCAGGATATTGCATTCATATAAAAGATAAGTATAAATGCACATATTTAACAGTTTTCACTTGAAAATAACAAACTTCTCAATTAATACAATTTAAAGGAGGCAACATTAAGTGTACATTGTGTTACAAGTATTAGGAAAATAAAATGTACTTCCAAACTTTTTCAAATGTATTCCTTTTCTGATAATACATTAAATCTCCACAAATCCTAATAACATATTTGATCAAATTATAAGCTTCTTTGTGTGGAAAAATCTAGCTCATATTCTTTAAACCAAAATATAGGCTATAAATCTGCAGTGTTGAAACAACCAAACCCACAAATAATAAGATAAAATTCCCAAATAACATATACAAGAAATAACACTGGAAAATAAATGTAGCATGTTATGGCACCTTGAATGTTTCAGTTCAAAATGAATGAGCCTATAGCATTTTTCTAAGTAAAAAATAAAATAGCTTTCATGAAATCATGGAGTTTTGGGCTAACTGCTTGAAAATCTGAGAAATACAAATATCAAAGTCTAAAAAGTAAGATTATTTTCTCCAAATCCTCCTAATTTTGGGAGTTTATTATAGCTTTTTCTTTTTGTATTTTTCTTTCTTTGATTTGTAAACATGGTACTTTTAGGTGGTTATGAAATTCTTTTCAGATCAAGCTTTCTCTGCTTATGCTTAAGCTGTTATGTTGCATCATCAATTCAGGTTAATGTTTCTTTCAAATTGGTATTGTCCTAAGCCTAAGTCCTGTCGTAAATTCTTCACATGTGAGTAATCAGGGCTATCATTCTGAAATTTGGTCTATTTGTTATATTTACTAACTGCCATAAAGACAAATATTTTATCGATATATTGGGGGCAGCTATGGGGAATTATTTCAGGACATCTTCTTTCTGTAATATCTCAAGAATTAAGTACAACAGTGGATTCATTGTGTAATGAATTAAGAAAAAGGCTTCTGGCGACATGAACTGAAAAGTTTGGTATAATCCCATTGGGGGATCTTTAAAAATTATCCCATTTTACAAGCACCATTATCTAGTCTGATGATTATTAATATTTGATTCTAATAACAAATATCAACGTTTTGTGTGGCTAGGACAGTTCCAGACTGAGGCACAAGTATTCTTAAGGAGACCTAACTTATCCTTCCTCTACTTCCAATCACCTTCCTGTCTTTATTGCTGCCACTATTGAGAATTTCAAGTTTTTTCTGCTCCCACAATTCCTCCCCATATCACCTGTCCTGCTAGAGTTACTACAGACACAGAACTAGAGAAGTACTGGGAATGGTAACAGCTTGAACTGCTACTGTCCCTTCTATGCCAGCAATAATGAGAGAAACTTTTGGAGCCACAAAAATATATCCCTTCTAATAAGAATAATCAAAGATAGCCTGGCATATACCCATGATTCAAAACTTAACTGGGGTATCCCAGAAAGATTACTCTAGCAAAGGGCACTATTCATATTATCAGATGTAGGGGTGGAGGTGGGAAAAGGGATTCCATAGGAGTAACCTGGATATTAAACAGGGGTGTTATAGTTTGATATATTCATGGACTTGTTGGGTTATATGTCAAATACATTAGACTAGATGGCCTCTAAGGCCCCTTCCAACTCTAAATCTATGATCCCATAAATATGGATCCTACTGCTATATGTTTCACTGTACAAAGCTTTCTGATCTTTGCTAATTCTGTATGTTGTTACACATATTCAATTTTTAAATTACTAAGTCAGGTTCAATTCCCTGGCCCTTAGATTCTGATTCGATATAAAGAAGTTTTCATCATAGAATGGATAGAAACATGAACTCCTACCTAAATTGTTTCTGGTTGTAGCCATTATTCTCAACCTTTCTTGTTTTGGGATAATGTAGTGCATTCTAAATATAGTAGGAGAACAGTCATTTTAGGTAAAAATAGTATAGATTGCCTATAGCATTTCTGTGAAAAGTCAATGCTACATGACAAGATTTGAAGACGATTTGAAATTTTGTTCTTTTGATCCATATGATTTTTGATAGCATATGGAAACACCACCAAATCAATAGTATTTGTTAGATGGGTGTAGAGGGGAAGAGCTATTAAATTATGACTGAATGCAATGTTTCATTGTAGAGTAAATTTTTGTACCAGAAGTATAAATATCTGAGAAAAAGGCACTTAATCATAAACCTCAGCGATAACAACATTATGTAGCTCTTCTGAAAATGAAATATCATTATAATTCAACTTCCTTAGAAAACAAAACCTCATAATAATAACAATATCAACCTCACACATATATACAATATTATTTTGACCAGCAGTCCAAATTTTACAAGTTATGGCAATGCTATCGTGGTCATTTGGACCAAAACTAATGTGTCATAATATTTCTTTATCTTTGTGAAAACTAAAATTATTTAAACACATAACATGGCCACCTGGTAATATAATACACATTGAACTTGATTCTCTTGTTATTTTCTATAAGGCACAACTATTCATTCTCTAAATCCATATAAGGGAAAAATCTGTCCCTGTCATAGAATTTCCAAATTCTCCTGTTCAAACCTAGCAAGAGTTTCTTCTTTCAAGTCTATAACATCATGGGCTCTATTCTTTGGGAGTTGAAGAAATAACCTCATCACAATATTATTTGTTTTGATTTCATTATTCTTCTGGCACTGAAAATGAGGTTTTCCTTAACTGTAATATTTTATTATTTACATAATATATGTATAGATAAAATCAGAAATATGTTCAGCTGATTTTTAATTTGTCAGGTACATTCTCCTTCCATGTTGCTCCCAGATATTATGTTTTGTTATAGGACCTACTGAAAATGTTTTCATATTGACAAAGGTTAAAGAAAAACAGAAATGTCAGTACTTCAAGTAAACTTTGGGGCAAATTTTCATATAAAACTGAATTCAATAGCAGCTCTGACAATGAGATTTCAGTAAGGTATATTGTCTTTGCTTTCAGAAATCACATCTCTCAGCTTTAAAACAGTTCATAAAGATTTGTCATAATAATCATCTATCCTACCCAAAAGCCATCAGTGAATAGCAACTGTGCTTAATTTATTTTTATCACACTTAGCCACTTTTCATCTTCAAACTTTCATATAGGATAAGCTCTGAAGATATAACAAAATGTTGACCTCACCCAAGCTATGCTAGCAGCACACAGTCCCTTCTTATCTATACTTATCGTTACATACCACAAGTAGCAAAACACTTCAATTGTCAGTCTGAAACTACAGGCTTATATCTTGTGTAACCATGCCCTGATAAATGTCATTTTGCAATAACATCAATAATGCGCTGTAACCAAACCCAGCCATAATATTGAGAAACCCTCATGTAATATTGTTCGGCCTTTGCCCTGAGATGCAAATCAGGTGGTTTGAAATGATCCAGTCTAAGCTGGTGCTTGAAACCTCAGTAGCAGTAACATTCTTTTCCCTCCTCTAATGTTATTCTGCCTTAAACCACATTTTCACAGAACCAAGTTAAGTGGGGTATGCTTTTATTGGCTTTTAAGTTACAGTATATCAGGTTAATGTCAGGTTAAGCTTCCGCACTTCAATTAGGTGTATCATTTCCCAGGGTGATTAGCATCAAATTTGGGGTTTTGGCAAAAAATACTCTTAAGTAACAGCAGCTTCCACAAATAGTGGAAAATATTTTAAATCAAGCTTGGAAATCAGGACATATTCCATAGCTATTATTTATTAGTATTGAACCACATTCAGAACCATAGCACTATATAAAAAAAAAAAAGTTCCCTGTAAGGATATTGTGCTTCTCAAGTCTTATCTACAAATTCACCCTGGGAAATTGTACAGAATATTATTTCTTGTTTTCCATAAAAATACCTAGCTCAACCAAAATAAAAAAAGGCATTACATTTCTTTATAATTTTGAAAACAAAATATCAACACTCTTAGGAATTGACAGTATATTCAACAATTCCATGTGCCATCGACTATGGAAATGGAAAAATCACATTACAAAGTGTACTTTAAAAAATAAATTATGTAGCAAATAACAACAACAAACACAAGCATGTGCCAGTGGACCTTAAAGTTTAGCAAATAGGAGAATATAATTCAGTTGGCACAGAGACTGTATTGCTCTTGTTACCCATTTCCATATTAGCAAGGTGCCATAAGCTATAAAATTCTACCCCCAAAACATTCATTGGAAGTAGTAAATTATTTCCATTAGTGATCAGTAGCATAGAAGACCATGGTGATGGCAAAGGGCTGCGGAAGTAATATTCATCCAGCTGGGGTTCAAAGGAGACGCACACACAAAGTATATGCTTGGTATTGTTTTTCATCTAGAGTTCATCCGTAACTGATGAATGATGATGCTTTCTAGAATGAAAATAGAAAAAAAAACATATCTTCAATTATACTCAAGCTGAAATCCAAAGCTGAAAGTAAGGATAATGCCTATGTTTTGTATTTCACTAAACACATGAAGGAATTAAAAAAGCTGTCTACATGAGTCCAGTGTTACAATTTTGGTGACCATATTTTCTGAATAAAAATCAGAACATATGATTTGATGGAGAATTTTTTTTATCTGATTTAGAAATGGACTTTTAAGTTGGAATAGTCTTAGATAAATCCTGGACATTGACTTGCCATACATATAATCCGCCATATTTGAATAACTTGTTTACACTATGATTATGCTTTACATTCAAGGTTCTCAAAGCGCTTTTCAAACCATTATTTACGGGGAAGTTCTGTTTGGCCCATTTTACCAAGGGAATGACTGAGACAGTGAGGGATATAACCAGAATCCTATGGTAGCTTAGTAGTTAAGACAGAAATGGAAACCACATTATTCTTTTTCTTCAGGTCACACTGTTTCCTGCACTAGCTAAGCCCAATTAAGACCCATCTTTCTGAATTCTCTATTTGACAAAGAAATCTTGAAAAAAACTGAAAAGCATTCTGGCAAAAATTGGGCTTAGATTAATATCTTACACTATATTGCACAATAAATTCAAATAGATATGTGACTTGAATCATTCTATAAAAAATTTAGGAGGGAAGCAGATCATAAACCTATGGAAAGGGAATGGATTCTTAACCAAAGGGAATAGACACAAATACAAAAGATAAAGTAGATAATTTTGATTACATGAAATTAATTTTTTTTTCACAAACAAAATCAAGCCATCTTAAAAAAAAAGGGAAGTAGTTTACTGAGAAAAAATATTTGTGTCAGATATCTCTGGTAGGGGTTTGATATCAAGCAATTATATACAACTAACTATACCCAAAAGACATCCCACAAAAGAGAATAATAAAAAGATCTGAACAAACTTCTCAAAAGAATAATGGAAAACTATTAACTATCTGAAGGAATGCTCCAAATCACTAATCTTAAGAGAGATGCAAATAAAATCAAAACAGCCCTGAGGGTTTTCTTCATATCAGTAAATTGGCAAAGACACAAAAGACGAGAATAGTCACCTCGGAGGGGTTGTAGAGAGACAGGTACACTAGTTGGTATAACTATGAATTGGTACAACCATTCTGAAAAGCAATTTGAATCATGCAAAAAGTTATTAAAATGCTCATATCCTTTGATGCAAAGATTCCACTGTTAGGCATATACCCTAAGGTATATGACAAAAAAGGAAAGGGATAAGCACCAAAATATTTATAATAGCACTTTTTTTTTTGTGGTAGCAAAGATCTGAAAACAAAATAGATACCCATTGAATAGGGAATAGTGAAACAAATTGTGGTACATGAAAGCAATGGAATATTATTGTCCTCTAAGAAAACAAGCATGACAAATAAAGAGAATCATGGAAAGACTTACACACACTGATGCGTATTGAAGTATGCAGGGCCAGGAAAATATGTGTGTGTGTGTGTGTGTATGTGTATATGTATATACATACATACATACATACATACACACACAATGACTACAATAATCTAAAGGAAAGAACAGCAATGAAACAAAACTGAATGTTGAGAAATTTGAAAGACAAGGTTGGCCTCAATGAAGAGATATGAAAAGACGATTCTTGCTATTCCTTTGCAGAGGCTAGGTTCCATGGGTTATGAAAGGAACACTGTATATAATGTTAGAATATTTTGTGTTGACAAGTTTTACCCTTTTTTTTCTTTTATAAAAATTCTTTTTTATAGGGGATAGCTCTCGGAGAAAGGAAAGAGAAGGAAAGAAGAGAAAATTTAAACAATATAGGAACAATAAAAACAATTATCAAAATGTCTATATTTCTTTTTGTGGATGTGTTGGATTTTAAAAAGGGTTTTAAAAAAAATAGAAGTTTACTATCTATTCATTAGAGGTCACAAACTTAGCCAAGGTCACTCAGTGTTTAAATCTCTAAGACTGTAATATCCATAGTGCCTACATTTCTATTAAAGGAGACCAGTAGTATAGACTTTCAAGTTTAGGTTTATTTGAATGAAAGTCAAGTCACAAAATAGTGTCCAAGCATCCAATGAGTCCTACCTAACTCATGGGGGCTGTAATGTGAAAAGTCTATTTATATAGTGCTTTGAAAATCTTAAAGCACTATAAAAACATGTTGTTTTTTATCATTAGTTGTCCTATAAATACTTGTTAACTGATTTGATTCCCATAGTTATCTTTTTTATATATAGTTACACATGCCATTACCATTCTCCCCCCTCCCATTTATTTATTTTTAAATTTATGGAATAAAATAAGCATTTCCATAATGTAGTATAATTTTTAAAAAGATGATTGAACATGAAACTGCAAATCTATTGTGTACAACATACTATTCCTTTTAAATATATAATAAAGTTGTCATGTAAATTTTCCCTCTTTTTTTCTCTCTCCTCCCCCAACCTAGAGACATTAGACACAAATAGATGTACATATATATGTGTATGTGTGTAAAATTATTCTATACATACTTCTATTTATCAGTTCTTTCTCTGGATGCAGATAACATCTTTCTTCATATGTCCATTATAGTTCATTTGGGTATTTGTAATAGTCAAAATGACTTATTTACTCAAAGTAATTCTTAAAACTATATTGCTGTTACTGTATACAATGTTCTCTTAGTTCTGCTCATTTTGCTCTTCATTATTTAGTGCAAGTCTTTCCTTTTTTTCTCTAAGATCATTGAGTTTATCATTTTGTATATCACAGTAGTACTGATATACCACAACTTGTTCAGCCATTCCCCAATTAATGGGCATCCCTGTAATTTCCAATTGTTCACCAAAGACAAAGAGAGTTGCTATAGACATTTTAGAACATCATTCTTAAAAGTGAGATAAAAGGATAGCAATAATGACTTGAAAGAGGCAGCTAGAAGGCTCGATGTATTGAACACTGGGCCTGGAGTCAGAAAGACCTGAGTTCAAATCTGACCTTAGACACTTACTAGCTGTGTGATCTTGGGCAAGTCATTTAACCTCTGTTTGCCTCAATACACTAAAAAAGGAAATGACAGTGTCTCTCCCAAGAAAACCTCTGGACAGTATTGGCTGCTATGGTCAGTGGGGTCACAACTTAACAACAATAATGACACATATATAGCACTGTAAGGCATACAAAGCACGTTCCTCTGAGTTAACCCTGAGGTAAGTTGAACAAGTATCATTGTCTCCCATTATACAGAGAAGAAAACCCTGGTTCAGAAAGATAAGGCAACTTATCTGTGGTCACACAGCTAAATAAATGTCGAAAGCATGATCGGATCTCTAACTAGAATGGGGACTAGGACTTTTTTCTGTCCTTTGATGGGACTAGGAGCAATTGCAATCTTTTGGCATTACAGAAACAGTAGAGATTAGCATGCTTATTCCCAATGAGTGGTCTCTGCCAGAGAGAACCCCAAGACACACTCACCATGTCAGCCACACACTGGTTGGGAGTAGGGGGGAGTTCTGACGACACATTGTTACTAGACTAAATGTCACTATACCCAGAGGGCTCGCAAAGGGCAGGGAAGGAAAAGTCTAACACCCTTTCCCCATTTCTCCCTTTCACCTCACGCCCACCTTGTTCACCCACATCCATGATCATGAGCTAGTAATACCTCCTCTGTCCTATAGGGGATGGCAAAGGACTATAACCTTCTGCCAAAGCTTAAAATATTGGGAACAAAGGTGTTGAGATTGGGTGCCTCTGACGATGGCACAGACAAGCCGTTGCTTTCCCCTATGATAGTCATGGTTTACCCAAATGCACTCCCTCCCCCAAAAGGAAGAAAGGAGCCCCAAAGTCTTACCTCAGCCATGTGTGTGGGAAGGGACTTTGGAAACTGAGGGCATCTGCTCAGTTTGGATAGTACTGTAGTTGTGAGCTCTGCCCTGCTCTCTCTTCTACCCTCTCTGAAGAAGTGGGTTTGAGTGTTTGTTTTGTACTGCTTATCGTGGGCACTGCTTATGCCATTCCAGGCACAAATATCACTATTACTTATGGCTCTAGGCAAGACTCAAATCCCACATCTCCTGATCTGCTGGTCTTTCCAGTATACCTTAGTGCCCCTGCTCACAAATAGTTTACCATCCCACAAGATTTACTGATACAGCATGACATAGTGTATAGAGGCTAGTCATAAGCTATGCCACTGACACATACTGACTTTGTGACCATGGGCAAGTCCATTAACATCTCAGTGCCCCACAAGGAACACTCTGAGACTATAAGGGACAGACCAGTAGCTGACCTGCAACAGCAGAAAGCATTCCTTCCCCAATGAAATTACAGATCTGAATTCCCCCTTCTGCTCCCCAACCTACACCCCACCAAAAAAAAGATTTACACCATCCCTATCAACCCTTAGCAACACGGCAGCAGTACTGACTGAGATCAGGCATATCAACAGCTTGAGGAGGAATTCTAATATTTTCTCTACCTAACTTTTAGTCGAACAATTCAACAAACATTTACAAAGTGCTAACTAAAATATGAAAGCTAAAATGTATATAGTAATGTAAGGTTTATAAAGCACCATCTATTTTCTCATTAGATCCTTACAAATAACCCCGAAAGGTAAATGATACAGGGATTATTATCCCCATTTTACAGATGAGTAAACTGAGGCTAATAAAGTTTTAAGTGATTCACCCACAGACATATAGTTAGTGTCAGAGGTAAGATTTGAAACCATCTCTTTTGACTATAGGACTCTTACCACTAAACCAGCTACCTTTATATATGTAAAGTGTTTATTTCAGATTGGTAGTTTCTAATCACCCCATATCTAATTTCTTTCAGACATTAGACTCTGTTTTCATGCTAATTGGTGTATTCAATGAATTCTAGGTAGAACAGTTAGGTGGACAGTGCTAGGCCTGGAATCAGGAAGAACTAAGTTCCAATTCAGCCTTCA